CCTCACTGCTGGGGGCCCTCCCCTCCGCTTCCCTTCGCCCACACCAGACTTACCAGCTGAACCCGGTTGCTCTCCATGCTGCCAGGCTGTGGTCCTGGCCATCTGTGTGCTGTGCTGTGGGTGTGTGCATGCACAGGCACTTATTGGCAACTTTATCAGCCATGTCAGCCAAAAAAAGCCAATTGCCAATACTGTTAATTTTCCTTATATCAGTGCCAATCCGATATAGGACCGATGTATTGGTGCACCTCTAAAGAAAACCACTCTACCCAATGAGACTTGGTACTCAGTCTAGAAAATCCCGTTAAGTATCTCTGTGATGCCTAGATTCAGTTCTCAACATACGGATTTGTGTCTTCAGAGATAACATCCTTGTTAACAGCAGTATATGAAAATGAGAGATAACAGACCTGATTATCTACCCATCAACCCTCTTATGTCTGCAAGTTTTGCAGAGTCAAGCCCTTACCTCTCTCTAAAAGTGCAAAGTTTCAAGACGTTAAATGAATAAAGACAGCCTAAGCACTCCGCTACTGTGTGTCATATTTGTGAATAGTCATTAATTATTATTTGTGCTAAGCATACATGATCTGGAAGTGCATGTGCATTCTTGGCACAGAGAGAGTTCCCCCAAGGTTCCCTGTGTGGTTTAATGTGACCGGTTTGCATGTCTGTGCTTTAGACATGTCAGGCCATGTCTACACTGCCTCTCTGCTGAACCTGGAACTGCCATGTAAAAACAAGTGCCATCCACTTTCTCCTGCTCTGGACATGCTCAACTGTGGCAGTTAGATAGCATAGAAAGTTTAGAGGGGTCCTGAGTACATGGCCATCCCCGCTCTAGGAAACTTTCTCAGCAAAATTTGAGAGCAGGGCTGAGGCAAGTACTCAGGATTTCTCTAAGTTGCCTGTGTTGCTAGCCTTGGATTATGAGGAGCAAGAGAAAATGAGGGTTGTTTCTCTGCAGCAATTCCTAATTTAATGGGATGGTAGTACAGACATGGCCTTGAAGAACAAGAGCATTGTCTTGACTAGGATTTTGGAAGTCTTTGATTAGGTCAAGCTATCTAACATCACATGTTTAAATACAAGCTGAAAGAAGACCAAAGAATGTGTCTTTGTCTATAAGTCTGACCAATAACATTTCATACCTAAAATAATTCTCTGACTTGTGTATTGCAGGAGTAGTTTCTCACTTGTATAAGTGACCACATTAGAAAAGCAATTATTCCTCTTTTTTTCAGTATCGAGGGGGCTGGTCTCAACCCCATTAGAGACATAAAACTCTAGCAAGGCGCTCTCTAATTCTCAAAATTGCTAAAACTTTCCTCCTGTTAGTGAATAATGAAAGATTTAGCTGGTATCCTTGCACATTGTAATTTGGTATCAGCTATTTGTATAATTTTGATGCTCCTTCCAGTGGAATATAGTCACGCTTTAATGTCATGGATACGGCTTCTATGCGTAACTCATTTTCCCTCTTCTCTTAGGAATTAAAGCAGGACATCTCTAGCTTTCGCTATGAAGTTCTTGACCTCCTGGGAAACAGGAAACCCCAGAGGAGGAGTTACTCCACCAGCAGCACAGAGGTCTCCCAAAAGGATGACGCAAATGAAGATGGTGCTGGAGAAAAAGCCAAAGCCAAGAGTGTGTCTTTCAGCATAGCCAACAAAAAAAAAGACTTTAATGTGTCAGCGCTCATTAAAACTATGTCTGGGATTGACATTCCAGTTGAGAAGCCAAAAAGCAATGGAATAAATAAGCGCTCCTTCGTCCGAAATGGGAATAGAGTTCAAAGGCTTTCAAGCTCCAAGAAAGAGTCCTTCAAGAGACTGGGCCTCCTGTTCTCCAAGATGAATGGACATCTCCCCGAGCCAAATTCAGAGCCTATGTACACTATTTCAGACGGAGTTATTCAGCCACATTACATGTGGCAAGACATTAAATATTCTCAGATTGATAAAGAGAGAGAAGAGAACTGTTCCAAAAGTGAAATTAACCTCAATGAGGTGGACTATAGTGGGAACATGAGACATACAGGACAGAGCAAGGAATGCCCTGTGGTCTGTACCAGCTCCCTTCACTGTGCTTCCAGTATTTGCTCCTCTAACTCCAAACTTATAGACTCAACAGAGGACGTGTTTGACTCATGGGGAGATGCTTGTGACTTGTTTATAAACCAATGGAAAGATGGGCAGGAAGATCATGTTACAACTCGGTTATAAGTAAACCTATTAAAACCTGCTATAGACCATAGCTCAATATTTGTAACTGTTTGCTATCACAGATGATTCAGAGTTAGGATTCCCTTTCAGTCCCTAGAAACCGGCATACAACTCTCATTATTTTGGTCTATTTTATAGCCACCTTTACCACATTTTATTTGCCTTTTTATACTCACAGAAGCTGAACTATTTAGTTGTTCTGGCTATTCATTTTAAAGAAGTGCAACACTAACCAGCAGAGGTGCAGCCTGACATTCCCTACCATTTGCCATGCTTTCCTCTTATGTGCTTTCTCTAAACCACAGGGTTTCCTTACCGATGCAGTCTGAGTCTTCAAATTCTGTGGGGCTCAGAGATGCTGGTGGCAGAGTAAAGGACCTGAAGAGCAGCTCTCTTTCTCCACGTTTCATCTGGTTAGCATTGTTGCTATTCCTCCCAGTATTTTGGCCATCTACTTATGTCACTGGTCACCAGTACCAGCTGATGGAAAGTAGCTTAACCAAATTGGAAGAGCTGTAAGAAGGGTTTTCCAGTTATAACTGGCCTTTTTCTTTTATTTAAGCAATACAATATCTGATTATTTCAGCAGCGTGTGGGTTCTTTTCAGGTTGTATATTATATTCTTATTGTAAATTATTGTTGACATGAGATATATTTATCACTCCATCAGTATTACACGTTCAGTTCTATGATTTGCATAAGTTCGTCACTGTTTTTCATTTGTCGGGTACTTTTAGAAACCCACCGGCATGCTAGGAGGGAAGAGTTACTTATTACTGAACACTGAAAGAGAAATGGAGCGGCTGCTCTACTTATTGGTTTTTGCATAGGGATGGGCGGGAGGGAGGCACCATCCAGGATCCAAATCCTCCTTCATGTGCTTGACATCCAGTCTGAAATACAGTCTGAATTTTACAAGCAGCTCCTATCTGTATAATAGGTTGCACCAAACCCCAGATCTGAGTCCTTTGAATTGTACAGGTAGTTGGACTTCATGCCTAAATGTTATGCTCTCTACTGCTGCATTAGCTTTTAGCTGTCTACAAATTCTGAAGAACTGGTGGTAATAGTGTTTTCAGGCAGGAAGCTGCTTTCCTGTTGTGTTACCAAGCTGTAAGAAAGATTGTCGTCTCTGCTCTCATTAATTGCGTTCCTTAAAACAAGTCAGAGCAACACCAGCCTGAAGTGTATTTCACAGCCTGGCCAACCCCATGCAGTTTCTTTTTTAGCTGCAGCCAAATTGAATGCAGCAGTAGAGGGTGTTTGTTTCCAGTAGGGCTAAAAAGTGCTAGGCGCTGCACAACCATAAAGAATGGCATTGCCTCATGCCAAAGAGCTTCACAACCTTAGAAAGATGAGCTGATGGACAGGACCACATACATGTGCTATAAGCAGTGATTCTGATAATGCAGCAACGCGTGCTTTCTTCTTCGTTTTTGCTGACACGTAGACCGTTGCCAGCAACCCCCTCAGCCTTGCCATTATTCGTCAGCCACTTTCTCGTAGGGATCAGGGTGGAAATAGGTGCTGAAGAAGCCAAGGGCAGTAGCATTGTAAATCGTCTCAGAAATGGTGTTCGCAGCATATGGGACAGCATGCAATATAGCACATTATTCATATATCAAGTATAAGAGGGCACAGGTGATCTATTATGGACATGCACTTAAAGGAAAGTGTCACTGGGTAATTCAGTAGGGGCATATATGGCTTTGCTCCTTCAAGGTGTTATGTGCCCTCTGGTCCTACTGAAGTGAATGGAAGTTGACACTGCCTGGCCTCTCTCAATCATGGCAGAATTAGCTGTTGCCATGAATTGGGCTGGGAAGTGTGTTGAGAAAGGATTTATTAATGTTTAAAGTGGCTGAGGCTCCTGCTGCTGCCAGTCTTTTTATGTTTCAGCTGAAAACTTGAGTGATACCAAGGCTCTCTGGCCTGGACTCTCGAGATGAAAACTCCCCTTGGAAGAGATGCTTGAATGCTCAAGCATGAAATATTTAGCCTGAGTTTTAAATATGATTTTCTCTTCTCTTATTAAGGAAAGTGACTCTGGCAGATGTTTCCTTTGGGCACACAGATGGCCTCCAGTGTCACAAGTAAGGTCACTGCTCACTCAGTTGTGTGCCCAAACCACAACCCTGGATCCCAGACCCAAGAGCTGTCAGACAGTCCCAGATAGAGACCTGAACTTGGCTGCTGATGGGACAAAGCAATTTCATGGGTATGAACACCTCAGGCTGCTGGAAAGGCTTAATACAGGTCTCAGACAGGACTTTGGGGCTGGAGGCCACCCTTGTTTTTCAGCAGGCTGAGCCAACGGTGCAAATGCAGAAATATACCCTCACTCCCTGCTTGCAGACTGCATTAGTCTAGCTAGCAGAGGACAAACTACAACCCTGATGCTGTCAGCTGTTGTGCTGACAAAGGGCTCAGCACTGTCTGTGAACCGGTATTTACTCGGCTGCAAGATGGAGGGGAGGGAAATGACATGGTTCCATGCACCTAACAGTGCAAAATCCCAGAGCAGAGGTAGTCTGCTGCTTATTCATAAACTAAGCCAGCCTCCCATCCTGCAAACCCAGCTATGCATTAGGATGACGTTGAGGGCAGATGGAAGGTAACTCCAGCAGGACCAATCCCAGGTTGAGACAAGAACGCTCTGAGACTCTCAAACCAGCCTGACAAAGCATTTTTCTGCATTTGAAAGAGCTACTAGCTGGAGGTAACGGTAATGTTGCAAATCACTTGATGCAGCTGTTAGTCACTTTATAACTTATGAACCTAATTCTGAATGGGTCCAGTCAGCCTTTGTGGTGTTTTCATGTAAGGCAAGTAGGAATGAAAGCAATACTGAGATGGCAACACAGATTACATCAGGAGCCTGGGCTGCAATCAGGGTTCACATCACTTTGATTGTGGGAGACTTAAATCCAGAAGGACAGCAAGCACGCCGCTGTTGGCCCTGATTGCAGCGTGCCATTCAAATGCAATCATCCGACATCAGTAAGCTCCAACATCAGGCACCGCAATGCAGTTGCCTCTTTCTACCTGTGCACAATGAGAATGCAACAGGCGCTTTCCCTTTGTTCTGTCCATAAAATGACAGAAAGGAACTGAGAGGCCGTTAGCTATATTAGTCTGAATTCAGGCAGAAGGCAGGGTAGGTTTTCACTTGATTTAGATGTGCACTTTATGCACAACTAAATCAGAGCATACATTTTCGTAGACAATAGGTTTACTTCATCAGATGCTGTTTCCACTGCTTACAAAAGCTTAGGCTTTGCATCTCTGATTTAGTTAGCCTAAGGTACAAATGTACCCTGCCTTCTCTGCCAGATAGGATCTGACAGACACATTTTAACACATTAGCTAACACTGTACACAAAAATCTATGTTAAAGTTATGTTGAGGGTGAGACGTATGTAATGTAGCCGTGGCTACTTGGCCTGGGTCTTCTGTGAGATTCTTTATGCTCAGATGTTAGCTCCAGCCATGGCAATTTAATACCAACCTTTCATTCTAAAGCAAACGTATGAGTAACGAAGGAAAAGACTTCCCTAGGCAAAATAACTAAATTCCGTTCAGTTCTTTATTTGTGTGTGACCCCTTTGAAATCTGTGGGTTTTACAAAAGCTGGTTGAAAAAAATGCCATCTTTATAGGAAATTGCCTGGGTGTGAGGGCAGGAGAAGGGGAACAGAATTGAAAGTTCCTCTGAAAAATTATGTCACCAGAACTGGAAACATGTATTTTAAAACTGGCTCAGTACAATTTTCGTTTCCAGTTCCTCAAAGAATGAAAATGTTCTGAACGAACTGAAATTTTCCACAAGAAAACGAATGGCTTGGTTGGAGGCATTTTGGTTGAAAAATATTTCAGCGAAGGAATTAATCTACCTCCAGATCGTACGTGGATGCGAGTGCAGGGGTTGGTGCGGTGTCTTTGGATGGTCGTGGTTGGGGATGAACCTGTGTGTTAGCGCTAGTTCCACAGTCACAGCCCTGCCCTGCCTGCTGTTAGTCTTTGTATTTCAACACCAACCCATAACACTTGCAAGGGAATGAAAAAATCTTTAGTTTGAAAGATCTTCAGGTTTCTTCTCACATGGGATGGCTGCACATCCTCCAAGCTGTACCATCTTTTCATCTAGCCTTTAAAGTGACCTATTCAATAAGGAATCACCACTCACAACACTACCAAGTTACACACAGATACAGTACTGTACATCAAGGAAAACTCGGAGTTGTCTGAACTCAGGTCAGAAATGAAGGAACCCTCTTCAGAAACAGGGACGTCCATAAACACACATCTTTGCAGACTGATTTAAATCATTCTCTTTATAAATGAATTCCACACACATTGGTAGATATGTAAATATCCATACAATTGTTACTGTGCTCTTAACATAGGAAGCGTATGAAGTGGTTAGGGCACAGGATTCGGAGTTGGAAATTCTTGGGTCTATTCCCAGCTTTGCCACTGACTCACTATGTGACCTTGGGCAAGTCACTTAGCCTCTTTATGCCTCAGTTTCCCCATCTGTAAAATAGGGATAATAATACTTACCTACCTCGTGGGGGGGGGGGTTGGGAATTGGTAATTGGAGGCTTAGTTAATTGGTAACGTTTGTAAGCACTTTCAGCTCCTCAGATTAAAGGCGCTATATACAGTAAGTGAATGATATTAGTAGCTGTAGGATGTACATTTATTTTCTTACAACTAATTCAGGTAAGAACTGATCTTTGTCAATTGTGACAGTTTTCAATGTAGAAAATAGCTTGATTATCCAGACAGGGGACCTAGGGAGATTTCTGCAATTGCTTGGTAACGAGAGCAGAGAGCCCTAGATGCCTAAACTCTGAACAACTTTGCTTTTGTGGATTTATGTCTCACCCTGAATGTTACTTTATTGTATTTATTTGTGTCCCATCCTCTTTTTCTAATGGTATATGTAATATACTTTTTAGCAGAAATAGCAAAGAAATGTAAATATTAAGACTTGTAATATTTAAGTAAATATATATATAAGAATATAAATATAAAACCTTACATTTTGAAGAGATTCAAACTGGTTAATGCACCAGACTTCTAGAAGTCAGGAGGGCTTCAGATACAACCTACCATTGATGCGTGTATCCATGGAAGGTAATTGAAGTAAGAATAGGAAAACTTTTTCTATGTATTATTAACTTCTTGATATTAGTATTTCCCCCCCATTGCTGGCAATGGGTATCCAAGTCAGAAAACCACCATTGTTGCCATGCAGGTGTCCCACATAATCAATAGCAACACGTATGGCAGCGCACCCAAAGGAAAGAGAATATCCATTTACTATGGGAGCTACATAACCTCTCTGCAGTATATTTAGGGATAAGATATACCAGACCAAGGTATGCAAGAAAACAGGCCTTTTACTCCCACTACTATCATGTAAATGGAGCTCACTTGTGTTCCTATGGTCAATGATAAATCTCCAGTCTCTTTCTTTTGGAGTAGACTCCGATTCTGAACCTCTCCTCACCGCATTGAAATGTACTCTGGCTGTTTATTGAACCAATGGAGTTATTTTCCTTCCCTACTCCCAAACATTGACATAGATTTATATGAGTATAGATTATATAACTTTTTTCTTTGGCTTTCATCTTGCACCCAAATTTTGTGGGCCTTACTCAGGGAAAAGTTCTGTTTGCAGCAGGAATTTGTGTACAATTGTTATAAGATTTGGCCCTTCATACCATCTTGCAGTATCAGCACCCCATGAATTCAAAGGAAGCGAACCGAGTGTTACATGGGAAGAATACAAAAGGTGCCGTTTGCCGTCATTTTGGAGAAGCATGGAAAACCACCAGCTGTTTCATGAGCTTTCTAGAATTCTTTGCCTTTGATTGGCTAATCGCCCTCTTGCGATAACTCCTCGCACAATTTCAGTATTTCAACTTTTCTGGTCTCAGACCAGAATCCAGAAAAAACAAACAAAAATTAAAATAAAATGGACTACTTGTGTAAAATTACCTAAAGGAGGTTGAATTCTGGTGAAATTATTGGGTCAGTTACCCTTGTAGCCAACAGTTAAGTTGTTACAGTACACTACCATTATCAGAAATATACATTTTAATGAGGCGGCAATGTACAGATCCAAAGTCTTAATTTCCAAAGACATGTGTTGGCCACTCTCGAGTTTACAGTTAAATGTGGAAACTGTCAAATACTACTTTTAAAAATTATTTGGATGGATTTATTTTAGCACATGGCAAAACTGTGAACCATTTGGGATTAAAGGATTAAAGGCATTGCTTAACATCAACAACCCGCCCCTTCGGTCCATTTGCAAGACTGGGGTTCCGTGGATATCAAATATCACTAGGGTACTACAGCCCTATGTCAGAAAAGGACAACTGAAGCATATTGAAGCAGAAAGACATCCAGAAAAAAACCTGCAACTCCCAAATGCAAAATGGAGAAATTAATTAGAAGCAGTGAGATGACAGTGAATAAACCACCTCAGCAATGAGACTTGTAAAATAATGCACTACCAAAATAGTCTATAGTAGACTATAGAAAGACTATAGGACATGTGCTCCTTGACACTCCAATACTATAATAGGGTCATAGAAAATTAGGGTTGGAAGGGACCTCAGAAGGTCACATCTAGTCCAATCCCCTGCTCAAAGCAGGACCATCCCCAACTAGATCATCCCAGCCAAGGCTTTGTCTAGCCAGGTCTTAAAAACCTCCAAGGTTGGAGTGTCCACCACATCTCTGGGTACCTATTCCAGTGCTCTACTACCCCGCTAGTGATAAAGTTTTTCCTCATATCTAACCTAAACTTCCCTTCCTGCAATCTGAGCCCATTGCTCCTTGTTCTGTCATCTGCCACCACTGAGAACAGTCCAGCTCCATCCTCTTTAGACCCCACCTTCAGGTAGTTGACAGCTGCTATTAACTGCTCCCCCCCACCCTCCATCAGTCTTTTCTTGAGACTAAATAAGCCCAGATCTCTCAGCCTCCCCTCATACATCATGTGCCCCAGAACCATTTTCACTGCCCTCCACTGGACTCTCTCCTATTTGTCCATGTTGTTTCTGGAGTGTGGGGGGGGAGAGGGGGGCAAAAACTAGACCCAGTGCTCCACCTGTGGCCTCACCAGGCCACATTTACCTTAAAAAGGACCTTTTTTGTTCCATGTGAACTAACCCACTTTTCACATTATTTGCTTGATTTTTCTTTACGAAAGAGCTACACTCGCTTCCTGATTTTAGACAGAGTCATACAAGGGTAAAACGGAGTTTTCCTTTTTATTCATCATGCATTTTTCCCTGTAGGAATGATTAATGTCCTAAGTCATGATGTGGAAGGATTCTTCTTGAGATAGAGCCTTTTATCTATAGCTGCATTTGAAATATGGTGAAATGGAATACAATCCTTATCTTCAGATCATTTGATACTTCTTTTTACTCCACAGGAAACTCTCTCCTTTGACTTAAGGCGTGCAAACCCAACCAAAAAGACTAACAAAACAAAACAAACCCTGATAAAGTGGCTTGAACAATGTTTTTGTTAGAAGTGACCTTTAAAGTGATATCCAGAAAGCTTCCAAAGATCAAGCTATAGTGAAGGTGAGCAGCTATTTAAAACAGCACCTCCCACGTTCTTTAAACACCACCTTGGTAAACAGTGTGTTTGTTTGTCCACCTTCACATCGGTAGCATGAGCTGAACTACAAGATGCAATTCTTCAGACATAACAGAGATGCCAATCTTTCCTAGAGCAATTAGCTAATAAAACACTGTGAAATCTTTAGGCAACCGAATTCAAAAGATATGCCTTTTTGAATTTTTAAAGTTGCTGTTTTGAAGCAAGGGGCTTCCTTTGTGGTGGACTGTGTAGTTTCATCTATCAGCTGTTAATTAGGTTTATAGGACATAGTTTGGGAATTGCAAGCAGTTGGTGTTGGAAAGGGCAAAGATTGCGATTGAGATTTCCGTTTTCTGTTTTCATACATGGCAGGTCCAAAGGAAAGGCTTATTCCGCAGCCACACTTCCATTTTGCATTGACTTTAATGTTAAATTGCCTCTTCCCAGGGCTTAACCATAGAGAGGATTTGGAATCTGAGCACATTTATTTTAATGGCATTTTACCCCACAGGACTTAAAAAGAGAGGTTGAGAAAGTAGTTTGCTTTTTGAAGTTTTATCCAAAATCATAATGTACCTTTTTCAGGCAAAATACCCAGCAGAGATGGGAGGAATCATACATAGGTAACACTGAGTGAGGGCCTCAACATTTGGACCCTCAATTGTAGCCTTCTTGCAAACAAACACCCATGCCTCGCTTCGTGTCATCAACTTTTCTACTTGCATATTTTCAGTCAGCAGTGCAAACTCCATACCATTCCCAACCATGACATGTACAAATGAAGAGAAATGATGTACATAATAAATCTATTTATTTTATGTGTATTTTTAGCTTAATTGTAAACTGACAACAAATAAAAAGCATTTACTTTTTTCCCAAGAAATGTATGCCTATTGAAATTCAAGGTGTTTCTACCTTTTCAGATGTAACATTTCCAGCTGCCTATTGATAATAAACATTTATGAACAGTAATAGATCTAGCACAGTATAATCTTTGCCATGTTCAAAGGAACCTTTCTAAAGGCTCTACACACACCCCATTTCTCTCTGGTGTATTGTCATGGAGAGAACTCAAGGGGCCTGATCATATAGGGACTCATGCAGGTGCTTGGTTTTAAGAAATGAGCAGTCCTCACCTGTCTTCAATGGGACTAACAGTTAAGACTATGTCAGTCTTTATGGACCTAAATATATATTTTCTGGGTATATTAGAAAAGTCATGAACTTTGGGCCTAATAGCACCTGAAGCTTTAATGAGCTGTTTTTGCTACGCCAATATAAAAGTAATGGGAAGCCCATAATAAGTAGGCTCTGGAATGAACCTACTGGAAAATAAAGGCTTGTGTTTTCTTGAATTAGACAAGGGTACCATCTAGGAAGATAAATATCAGTGTGTCCTGAATTCTACAGTTACTTGGATAAAATGGAAGCAATAAGTGAAATTTAAGGGACATGTTCCCCCCCCCCCCCGCATAGTATGCTTCATTAACTTTTGCAGTCTGGGAAAGAGAAAAATAAGGTTTTAAATATATTTAAGAGGAAAATGCTAATTATTTTAAGAAGCTAAAGAAAGGGAATTCAAAGAAATACTTAAACATACCCCTTACACACTAGAAAATCTGAAAACCCAGAGATAAAATATACGAAGTACTGATGTCATTTGGATCTTGTTCCAGAAGTGGGAGTCCAAGCATACATCAAAATACTGTATAGGAATTTTCCCATCTTAGTTTCTAACTAGATAGCAGGCACCTTTGCTCAGTCAGGATAACATACAATGCAAAATGCAATTGAAAAAATGCCTGGTAGCAATGTTACATCCATAAAATTTGCACTTTCTGGAAAGTGACATGCATTTCAAGTTTATGAAGATAAATTCATTACAAGATACAAA